TGGACCTCAGTGAGCTGGTACCCCACAACTGTTATAGATTAACCCTGCCATGGTAAAGGGGTAGATTAGTGGTCATATGCCAGGTTTGTACTATTAGATAGATTAGTGGTCATATGCCGGTTGTACAGTAACAATTAATAGATTTTACCATGGTCTAATTTTAGCAACAGATTAGTAGAATGGGGATTGACGTTTATCCCAATTGCAATGCTTTTCAGCCACGATAAACCTCAACATGTATCAATGTAATCTGCTCATCATTGAAACTGATCCAGGTACAGCTATTCTGAAGCAAATGCACAATCATAACAGACCAATAGTTACATCACACACACACATAGTTGAGCTACCTAAATCCCACCTCCTCTTAACGACCTGGAAGAAAGTAATGTTTTGCATGTCTTCAGAACGGCGCACGCATTGATCAGAGCATAAAACCGCGTTTTCCTGTTCTAGCTTCTGAGCGCATCAAGACCGAAACCTCTCCAACAGGCTGAACATCTACATAATTTACAGTCATATCTTCCTATACACAAACTTTAACATTTGGAAAAAGCATGGATTATGTGAAGACTATGAATACGCTTGTAACCTATGGAGAGAAGGCTTGAACATATTTTGTGTATTTGTGTCACTGTATGACATAACAAGACAAAAAGGCAAGTATTGTTTTTATTTTTTACTCTCACTGTATGGTTAATCATTAAGGGTAATCGGAATAACTATTGGTCGAAAAGGATCCAAATGTCCCAAATCTCAAAGTGGCTCTTAATTTAATTAAGGTGAAACATAAGTGTCTAAATTGTGAAATGTTCGAGTTTCTTTTTGTGTCCATTTATTTCGGTTTATACACAATAGTTTTGGTGATTTAATTCACTTGTTCCCTCATTAAATTAGTCATCAAAATTGAAACTGAAAGAAAATAGGGCTACAATAAGCTTCATAACGCAATTACTACCTATAGTATACTGACTTAATCAACAGACCTACTCCTTGCAGTCTTCCAGAATTGACCCCAACCCTGCTAAGTATCAATATAGAAATAAGTTGATTATGTAAACATATTGGAAAACTTTATACTGAGAATGAATATAATCAGCATCACCTGGATATAGTGCAGATGCTGATTGGTCACTTGTTTTGGGCTATGTAGTCTCCACTCTAGATTACAACCTCAAAGACCTATTCCACTGCAAGCTCTCTGTTACATCAACCATAAATTACCCTCACTGTTACATCAACCATAAATTAACCTGGCATAGTTTCCTTGGCTTTGAGCTGTGTTTATGTCTCTATTGCTATCTGTGTCTGCATTTCAAGACATAGATGTAGTCAAGCCCTAATTCTCCTTACATCAACAATTCACATAGTGGTATGGCCAACAGCAACATTCCTGTTATTAGTTTTCACTCTTGTCTGTGGTGGTCTTCTCCACAACTGGTCCTTTGATTGACAGGTCTGCAATACAGTCCTTCCAAAGAATGTGCAAAGCTTATCACATCCTTCAAGGCGCACACATGCACGCACACACACACACACACACACATTAATGCTGGCTTACACACTATACATTGTACACTGACTCATAGATTACAGTACACATATGTGCACGCTTAGAAAAAAGGTGTTATGTAGAACCTAAAAGAGTTCTTCGGCTGTCCACAAAGGAGAACCCTTTGAAGAACCCTTTTTGGTTCCAGGTAGAATCCTTTTGGGTTTCATGTAAAAAAAAAAAAACTTTCCACAGAGGGTTCTACATTCAACCCAAAAGGGTTCTACCTGGAACCAAAAAGGGTTCTACCTGGAACCAAAAAAGGTTATCATATGGGGACAGCCGAATAACCCTTTTGGAACCATTTTTTCTAAGAGTGTACAAGCAAACAAACTGAGAAAAGTAGCCCCATTTAAATTCCTGCATCACCTTTATCATATAACACATTAATGATCCACGTAAAGCCAGTGAAGCCAGGCACATAGCTTATTCCTGCCACCAAACCCAGGTTCGTCCGTCGGACTGCCAGATGGTGAAGCGTGATTAATCACTGCAGAGAACATGTTTCCACTGCTCCAGAGTCCAATGGCGGTGAGCTTTACACCACTCCAGCCGACGCTTGCCATTGCGCATGGTGATCTTAGGCTTGTGTGCTGCTGCTTGGCCATGGAAACCCATTTCATGAAGCTCCCAACAAACAGTTATTGTGCTGACGTTGCTTCCAGAGGCAGTTTGGAACTCGGTATTGAGTGTTGCAACCGAGGACAGAAGATTTTTACGCGCTACGCACTTCAGCACTCAGCGGTCCCATTCTGTGAGCTTGTGTGGCCTACCACTTTGTGGCTGAGCCGTTGTTGCTCCTAGACGTTTCCACTTCACAATAACTGCACTTACAGTTGACCGGGGCAGCTCTAGCAGGGCAGAAATTTGACAAACTGACTTGTTGGAAAGGTGGCATCCTATGACGGTGCCACGTTGAAGGTCACTGAGCTCTTCAGTAAGGCGATTCTACTGCCAATGTTTGTCTATGGAGATTGCATGGCTGTGTGCTTGATTTAATACACCTGTCAGCAACGGGAGTGGCTGAAATAGCCGAATCCACTAATTTGAAGGGGTGTCCACATACCTTTGTATATATAGTGTATGTGGATAAATGTCTGTCATGTTGCCTAAATATGTATGTACAAAACATTATGCACACCTACTCTTATCATGACATAGAGTGACCAGGTGAATCCAGGTGAAGGCTATTATCCCTTATTGATGTCACTTGTTAAATCCACTTCAATCAGTGTAGATGAAGGGGAGGAGACAGGTTAAAGAAGGATTTTTAAGCCTTGAGACAATTATGACATTTTATTTTATTTAACCTTTATTTAACTAGGCAAGTCAGTTAAGAACAAATTCTTATTTACAATGATGGCCTACCAAGAGGCAAAAGGCCTCCTGCGGGGATGGGGGCTGGGATTAAAAATACCATTAAAATATAGGACAAAACACACATCACGACAAGAGAGACACCACAACACTACATAAAGAGAGAGCTAAGACAACAACATAGCATGGCAGCAACACATGACAACACACATGGATTGTGTATGTGTGCCATTCAGAGGGTGAATGGGCAAGACAAAATATTTAAGTGCCTTTGAACGGGGTATGGTAGTAGGTGCCAGGCGCACCAATTTGTGTCAAGAACTGCAACGCTGCTGGGTTTTTCACTCTCAACTGTTTCCCATGTGTATCAAGAACGGTCCACCCAAAGGACATTCAGCCAACTTGACACAACTGTGGGAAGCATTGGAGTAAACATGGGCCAGCATCTCTGTTGAACGCTTTCAACACCTTGTAGAGTCCATGCCCTGATGAATTGAGGCTGTTCTGAGGGTAAAAGGGGGTGCAACTCAATATTAGGAAGGTGTAGGACATGCACTTTGCCTTCAAACCCCACTAATTGCCCTTAGTCCACTTCAGCAGGAAGAGCCCATGTTATGATGTGTCATTGTAGTTGAAAAGACCAGGTTGTGGAAATGTCAGCTTCCATTTATCAGCTTCCATGATCTGCTTGTCTGTCTGCCCACTAACCTACTCTCGAGGAATTATTTCCCGGACCAGCACCCCTATTACGACCCTTTGCCCCCCTCTCCCTAGATTCCACTGTCCTGATATCACTCCAGATGGGCTCTGGGGGTTGCAGGGTGAGGGAGGGGGTGAGGGGTAACAGATGGCCTCTTTGACCCTCTGGGCCAGGATTAAAGAGCAGTCACCTTGTCTCTCTGATTGAAGGCAATTTTTTTGAGGTATTCGCTCTGCCACGTTCTCAGACATGGCTGCCAACACAGAGTTCCGTGGGTTCCAGGGGAACGAGCTGTCTATTCTTTGTCTAAACTTGATAGCCAAGAGGGTTCCCAAGAGGGTTGATAGCCAAAAGGATATCCAAGAGGATAGCCAAGAGGGACTGATAACAACTAGCTACTTACTATAAACAGAAGAAAGAAACAGACCCCTGCATATTATCAGCAAGGGAACAGCAGTGTTTTCACATTAGGAATGCTTCCTCTCAAACCACGTCATACTTTCCCTCTGTCTACTGTTCTGTCATTATACTGAACATTCAAGTGGTAATATCCATTTATACAGATCCAGAGGTGTATATTCGTTCAGAACTGTTCTTTTGAAATATTGTACAATTTTCCTGACCTCAATCATCAAGGTTTGTATAAGGCTATTGAAGTGAGGCTGATACGCAGTAATAGCTGGCACTGTCCTTGCTCCCCTGGGTCTGTGGAACCAATTCAACTCAATAGACTAGCCCACATTTAAATCTCTCTTTGTTAAGGGGTTTGTAACTGGCAACAGGAAGGAAAGGGGGATACCTAGTCAGTTGTACAACTGAATGTATCTTCTGCATTTAACCCAACCTCTCTGAATCAGAGCAGTGCGGGGGGCTGCCTTAATCAACATCAGCGCCCAGGGGCAGAACTACAGATTTTGACCTTGGGGATTCGATCCAGTAACCATTCAGTTATTGGCCCAACGCTCCTACCTGCCAGGCTACCAATTGCTTTAGATTTAGGATGACCTGACGGACTATAGTAAATGCTTTGGAGAAGACGACCACACCTTGAATAGAATAAGTACAGCCATGTTAATGATTACAATAGAAACACTGCTCTAAATATCTGTTCTAATAATAGTACTAGCTGTGTTGCTATAATTCATACAGATATGCTCTTGTCATAAATCTTGGAGAATAGAAAAGAAAGATGATGTGTGAGCTTTTTGGGGGAGGGAAGCTGTCCTAAATTAAAATCTGTATTGTTGGACTGTCTGCTTTGGCCTGTGTGGAAACCAGAATGCTGGCTTTGGAAGACAGATTGCTGTTGTGACCTGGTGTGTGCTGGTTGACCTGCAGCCTGCTTGTACAGGGACTTGTAATTGTTTTCTCTCTCGCTCTCTCTCTCTCACACTCTCTCTCTCTCCTCTCTCTCTCTTTTTCTGTCTCCGCAGGACACTGATCTTCATGTGACAGTGGGTTGGCAATGGCAACACTCCGGCCCCTCCCAGTGTCCAGCCCCTGAGGAGGTTGCTGAGGTTAGCAACAGAAAGCACGATTGGACAGAAGAAGTGGAAGAAGGAGAGAACCAAACAACCTTCTGTAGAGTGACAATACATTAGAGTGAACCTGAACTCACTTCTTCATTTGCTCTGTAGTTGGCAGTGGGACCATTTCCTGGGCATCGGGTATATAAACAGGAAGTGGTTAGTGGTGGTGGGGCCTGCTAATAATTAAAGGGATAGGCTTGTTGGTGGAGGGGGAGTGTCTGCACGTGTAGCGATGCGTGTAGAGACGAGGAGGCCCCTTCCCTGCTACCTGACGCGGACTCTGGCTGTGACCTTCAACGTGCCCCCGGCCCCACCATGCTGAACAATGCCTCCCTGGTCTACATCGCCCTGGAGCTGGTCATAGCCTGTCTGGCCGTGACCGGTAACCTACTGGTCTGCTGGGCCGTGTGCCTCAACAGCACCTTGCAGAGCATCACCAACTACTTTGTGGTGTCCCTGGCGGTGGCAGATATCGCTGTGGGCTTGCTGGCCATCCCCTTCGCCATCACCATCAGCACGGGCTTCTGCGCCAACTTCCATGGCTGCCTGTTCATCGCCTGCTTCGTGTTGGTGCTCACCCAGAGCTCCATCTTCAGCCTGCTGGCCATCGCTGTGGACCGCTACATCGCCATCAAGAGTCCCCTCAGGTGATGCCCTTAGCAGGGGAGGAGAGGGAGGGGAGTGTGTGGGGGGAGGTGGGGGGGGGGGGGGGGGGGGGTTGTTTGGGGACTGGGCTGAGTATGAAACATAAACAGGTATCATCGATGTTTAATATGTTGTTTTATTTACAGAACACCAAAGGCAGATCCTCTGGCCTGTTAGAGCTTGGCTGTGATCTAAGTGACGCACAACAAAATGCATTTGTGTATCAAAACACATTGAATTATAGCGAGGTTATTCGATTAGGGCAGACTGAGGTAAATGTCTCCACAGGCTTCATTGGGTTAGTGTTTGTGTGTTGTTGGAAGGATTAAAACGGCTAAAGGCTTTGATCATTATCATCCTGGTAAATCAACACAAAGGGAGAGCGGTGAGGTGGCAGGCCCAGGCACTGTATCGATAGACAGGCCTGTGTTCTCACCTTAAACAGCCCTGGATCCCCCTAGCAGAAACGTGCATACGCTCACGTAGCCTCTCCGTCAGTGTGACGGAGGTGGACACCAGAGCATTGTCATCCCTCCTCTTAAATGTATAGTCATTTTCCCCAAAGAATGTAGGGAAAATAGTTCATTTCCTTACAATTAAATGTACATTTATAGTCTTTTGAGTCTTTCCTTTAATAGCAAAATGGAGATTGTTTATAGATAACAATAACTGTTTTTGTCTGTGAGGAATAAACTATATTTATGTGGTTGTCAAGTAGGGTTAGATGAGTTGATAATTTTGACAATTATTTGTTGTCTTTATTTGTTATGTCTTTATGTGTTGTATGTGGAATGTCCCATGTGCCTCTTCAATTCTATACCGGTCTGTGACTGTGTAGCAGATGGGGATCTGTCAAACTCACTCCTCAGCCTGAATTTTGTCTCCACTTGCGCTGCCGAATAGCTAGTTTTTCAGTGGTGTAACTGGGCGCTTCAGGAGGGTTGTCACGTGTGTTTACAAGGCAGAAGTCCTGGGTTGGAGCCTCCGTATGAGCTGAATCAGTAGTAAGCGGTTCTCGCTAAGCAAGCAGCATGAAGTCCTTTACAACTGCAATGACCCTACAATGTTGACTAACAGCCAAGTTAGGACTAAAAGTACTTTATCTTTGAGAGAGAATGTGACAAAAACGTTTTACGGTCGCTGAACCCAGAGCCTGTCAAGAGTGCTTCTGGCACTATTTGGTTTACAGAGAGAGAGAGAGCGAGAGAGAGAGAGAGAGAGCTTTGTGTTTTTCTGTTTTCCAGCTCTCAGTCAGGGTGTGATGGCAGGTAGATAATCCTGCCTGTTATCTGCTCAACACCAGTCATTAGGAACATTAACTGCAAAAAATTGCCCGCAATAAAAGTCTAGATAGCTAGTTTATTAGGATGCTATGTAATGTTAGGTTAATAAGGCACTCAAGCTTGCAAAAGGGACAAATATGTAACTTTGAACATATGTTAAGGGTTAGGTTTTCCTGCCATTCTATAAAAATATAAATAAATTAACTAAACAACAACTTGTTTTAAATAGGCTATGTCACACTTACAGGCACCATAATTTCTCCCCGTGGGCATATAATATTATAACAACGCAGACTATGGAGGTTTTTATGCACATCCAAAACGGGACCGGCATGGCTAAAATAATGTGGGCTTGCCTACAATGCATAGATAAAAAGGGAATGTCAGCTCACTGTTTTACTCCTCTCAAACTTTATATTTTAATAAAGCTTTGGTGATTAAGATTTATTTCCAAGCGGTCTCAGGAGCCAAACCCTTTATAGACAGTCTTGACTACTTCGCTATTGCATTGGGCAGACAAAGAAAAGCCTTAATTGAGAGGGGGGAGGCTTTGCTTGGATTCTAATCAAATAAAACGAAATGGGAAAAAACTTTCGTTTTTATGTTTCTAAATACGAAGTATACAGGCACCAAAAGCACATTAGGCTACTGTTCCATACGCATATGCCCAGTGTGCGTCACAGCTGGATAGGCTGTTTCCGTTGTCAAAATTAATTCCATAACCAACTGTGTTACCGCTAAAACCAGCTTTTGGTTGGTCTTAAATATCGCCACCCCCATAACCACAAACAACAGGGTGCTGTGCCTGTGGCGCTGCCCTTTGAGATTTCCACCCTGTTGTACATTATGAACTCTGGTTTAGACATGGCCAATGGAAGAATACAGACAGCTAAACTTGATAATAGCCTGATACTTTGTTCATGACGACAACACTGATTTCCATTTGTCTAATGTCTGAGGCAGAAACAAGCAAAGCCAAGAAGGGTTACATCAGAGTATAGATAAGCTTTTGTGCAATGTTCCCTAAATCACAATACAGGTAGGAAATGCTTTATTAAGTCTACATATGGTGATATCCACTGCTCCATCTCCTAGTATGGCAGGACTGGTCGAGTCTGTCAAACAATGGACTAATTTCCCAAGAGGTTACTGCTATATATGCAGATACTAGTATGTTCTCGGGATAAAGGATTTTTATCCTCTTAAGCCTGTCCCATACATTCTTTAAGCTCTCTGATTACAGGAAGTAGAAGTCATTGGTTGGGTCCAGGAAAGGTGAACATGCTTTGTTATTGAGTTTGACTGGGAATGTCTGGGCTTGAATAAAGGAACATTTCTGTGTCATGTAACAATATAAAATGGCTATCTTGAATTCCTCTCGTGTTTTCATGTGATCCTTTAGGTATAACAGTCTTGTGACGGCTGGGAGAGCGAAGGGCATCATCGCAGTGTGCTGGGTTCTCTCTGTGGGCATCGGCCTCACGCCCATGCTGGGCTGGAACATTGGTGTCAATGTCACCAACAGCAGCTCGTGCCCCAAGGGCATGACAGAGTGCCTGTTCGAGGGTGTGGTCACCCTGGACTACATGGTCTACTTCAACTTCTTTGGCTGTGTGCTGGTGCCCCTGCTGGCCATGCTGGCCATCTACGCCCGCATCTTCATGGCGGCGCGACGCCAGCTGAGACTGATGGACCTGAAGCTGGCTCACATGCACGCCCCTGGGGCAGGCTCGTCATCCACATCGACCCGCTCCACCCTGCAGAAGGAGGTCCACGCAGCCAAGTCTCTGGCCATCATCGTGGGGCTGTTTGCCCTCTGCTGGCTGCCCCTGCACATCATCAACTGCTTCAACCTATTCTGCCAGGACTGTGGTCGCCCGCACATCTGGGTGATGAACATCTCCATCATCCTGTCCCACGCCAATTCCGTGGTCAACCCCTTCATCTACGCATACCGCATCCGGGAGTTCCGCCACACCTTCCGCAGGATCCTGCAACAGCACATTTTGGGGCACCAGGAGGGGCATCGAGCTGGGGGAGGGGGTGGCAGAGGGCTGGGTGGCAGCAGCAGTATCATGCGTGCCTCTACTCGCATCAGCATGGTGGACAGCTTGTGTGGCACCATGGTGAACAGTTATGCCCTGGAGCCCTGCCCCAAACTCAGCCCCACTCGGTCCTCCATAGAGACCCATAGAGCTGGGAAAGAGGCTTACTCTGCCTCCTGCCAGTGGTCACCACCACGGTCAGACCCTTCACCAATCAGCTCCATCAAAAACGAACACCACAAAGGGGATGCCCCAGTGTCTCCCAAGCAGCAGCAATGCAACATGGGATGTGAGGTCCAAAGTGGGGTTGAGACTACAACAGAGTTGATGGAGGTGAAGGACAGTGGGAACATATCCTTTGTGCACATCAGGCCTCTGTCCCCCACACTAACCAGCCCTAACCACACAGTAGAACTCACTGAGGTGTCATGACATAGTTATCCCCATGATGGACAAGTTACTGATACCCCAACGTACATCATCAACTAGGAGGGGGAGAAATGAGGGACCAGGCTAAAAGCATGTTCCCTTCAACTGTAAAATAAATTCTACCCAAATATTGGAAATGTTTGCACTGACTAGAAATAGCTTTTCTTTTTTTTAGGGGGGAGACTTCTTAGCCTTAAAGGGCAACAACAAACTGGTATTAAATTACACCCAGCCATTGAGCTTTTTTCTTTCTTCAAATGATTGTGTCTGTTGTTCTTGTTTACTTATCACATAACTGTTATTGGTGGACACATTTTGTATACATTATCTCTGAGGCTCTTTACTGTAGGCTAACAGTCTTTCAGAATTGAAAATGTATGACATTATAAATGAATGTACTCGTCTACTGAACACCTGTCGTATGCTGACAGATTATGACCGAAACCATATTGACCCTGGCCACTGTGCAATACTGTATGACTCAATATTCGGTATTGCTGGCCAACCACTACTGAGGTAATGTAACTACTGTATGTCAGTGTGAGACTTTATGCTCTCCCTTTTGCAATGAAGTATTCCTCCAATTGTGACATATCATGTTTTCAAATGCTGGTCCCTTGTGTGATTACTTGTCAGATTATTAAAAGTCCAAATAAGCTCTATTATCACTGTGTGTTGTTTTTTTAAAGTGAGTCCTGGTGGGGAGAGTATAACATACAGCAAGTCACATATCACTAGAATGTGATGATGCTCTACACTCTTAGAAAAAAGGGTTCCAAAAGGGTTCTTCGCCTGTCCCCATAGAACTATTTTTGTTTCCAGGTAGAACCCGTTTTGTTTCCAGGTAGAACCCTTTTGGGTTTATGTAGAACCGGTTCTACATAAACCCAAAAGGGTTCTACCTGGAAACAAAAAGGGTTCTACATAAACCCTTTTTTATGTAGAACCGGTTCTACTGGAACCGGTTCTACATAAACCCAAAACGGTTCTACCTGGAACCAAAAAAAAGGGTTATTCAAAGGGTTATCCTATGGGGACAGCCGCTATAACTCTATTAGGTTCTAGATAGCACCTTTTTTTCTAAGATTGTAGAAGTCTAGTAATTTCTATTGAAAGCTATGACACTGCATCTGATTGAACAGTAAATCACTGCAGAAGTGAAAAGGGGGAAAATGTATAGTTCCATGTAGCCACCATATATAGCCTCTGGAACAATGAGTCTTGCTTATCTCACAGCCAAATATACTCTGTGTATATCTACTAAACGTATGAGGATGTAAAATCGATAACCTGGTCAAAAGTACCAGTCACCTGATACAAATCTATTGAGTAACATGATAAAAGTAATAATATTATTTCAGAGCCAGATCCCCCTACAAGCATTGCCAACAAGGCAAAACAAAGAAACACACAGGATTTTATCTCACTGCTCAAATAAAAGTGGGCACACCTTTAACCTCCCCACACACGCACACATACACTCACACGCTCACCAACTTGTGTGACTGTGTTTACAGAGTACTTGCTGACGCCAGTCACTGGGCCTAATGCAATGGAAATAATGAAGGTGCATTTGATGATGTCTTTTATTGTGCCATTACGCGTTCCCTTTCCTCATTAAAAAGCTCCTCCACTGTGGGAAAGACCTACATCAAACAGCATTTTCTCCACAGCGCAATTGCATGATATGGAGGACGAATTCTCTCCATAAGTACTCCCAACTTAGTTAAAAAATATATGCATTGCATATTTTATTGAGCGTCCATCATTGCATCATTGCATATTTTATTGAGCGTCCATCATAACATTATGCAGTGAATGAAAATGCAAGGTGGACATGAGCAAATTTCTCTTACAAATGTTTTGTGTTGTGTTACTGTGATAAACATGAGATAAAGGAAATATGAAAATGAGCTCTATAACCTACAGTCATTACTGTAACCATCATAAAATCCCTAATCAATCCCTGTGGTATGTTTTTGCCTTCTGAATGACATAATCAATCGTAGAGTAAGCATGGTAAAAGAAAGAAAGGTTTCAAGTGGAGGCCTTGGCGCCATGATGTCCTGCAAGAAAACAATGGCTCATTCAAGTGGGTTACGTTTACAGCGAGTAATATGGTAAATGTAACATACAGGGAGCCTGGCAATAGTATACAACATTTGTCTGGTGGGTGCCATCATAGACTATACAAATTGGTTGGGACATAATTAGCCTACCTGATTATCACTATGGTTATTGGTTTGTAAACATGCCATCACAAACCGTTACACGTGTCTCTGCACAATTCTCTCCACACATACTGTCAAAGGAGATGTGATGGCCTTGATGCTAATACTGTAAATAGGAAAGAGAGGACATGTACCCTCTGATGCATGTCTCTAGGCTATTGGCACTAACTAAATAAGTGTGCATTTAAGGTAACAGATGAACAGAGAAATGTGTAGATCAGGGTCCCTGGCAGGTTTATTTGAAGCTTAAATTGAGTTTTGGTCTGAAGCTGAGAGCAGGGCCGGTCCCATGCATAGGCGACATAAGCTGTCGCTTAGGGCCCCCAGCTGCTAGGGGGCCCCCAACCCTCCAAAATTAATACGTTTTTTTTTACTCAGTCGGGGTCTCAACTTACTGTTGGGTCATTTACATTTTAGTCATTTAGCAGACACTCTTATCCAGAGCGACTTACAGTTAGTGAATGCATATGTTTATTTTTTTCATACTGGCCCCCTGTGGGAAATGAACCCACAGCCCTGCCGGACAAACCCTCCCCTACCTTGGACAACGCTGGACCAATTGTGCGCCGCCCATGGGTCTCCCGGTTGCGGCCGGCTGCGACAGAGCCTGGACTCGAACCAGGATCTCTAGTGGCACAGCCTTAGACCACTGCGCCACTCGGGAGTCATTTCATGTCATTTCAGCAAGCCATGACACTCACCATCTCAGATTGTTCTGAAATCATTTCTGTAGTTAGAAACAGATAAGATTAGCATTCCTGCAGCATTATTTTGTTGAAATATAATTTGATCTCTGAGAAATTAAGCTAATTGATTGCACCCAAATTGGCCATTTTAATTTATAGGATTAATATAACAAATATAGTACCTAACATTTGATTTGGACCAAACTGTTTTCTAACCATGGGTAAGACATGAGGAATCCAAGGAAATTGTCAAAAGCGACCCATGGACACCCCACACCCCACACCAATCCCACCCTAACAATGAGTATATAGTATCAGTTCTCCATGTCAGACTAGTAGTATTGAGCTGCGGCTTGGAATATTGTTTCCTATCCTATGTAATGTATACTGAGTGAATTTGATGTTTTTTTAAACTGTTCAGAAAAATTAGTCATTAAAGTTGTTAGGTCTCCCGAGTGGCGCAGTGGTCTAAGGCACTGCATCGCTGTGCCACTAGAGGTCCTGGTTTGAATCCAGGCTCTGTCGTAGCTGGCTGCGACCGGGAGACCCATGGGGCGGCGCACAATTGGCCCAGGGTAGGGGAGGGAATGGCCGGCATGTAGCTCAGTTGGTAGAACATGGCATTTGCAACGCCAGGGTTGTGGGTTCGATTCCCACGGGGTGCCAGTATAAAAAATAATGTATGCACTCACTAACTGTAAGTTGCTCTGGATAAGAGTGTCTGCTAAATTACTAAAATGTAGGTTTTTGTCCCATCCTACATCCTGATATTACCAGGTTCTGGCCACTAGATGGTGCTATTCCTACTATTGGGTGACCTCCCCCTCAATGTTAAAGGGATAGTTCACCAAAATTACATTTGATTTCCTTACCATGTAAGCAGTTAATGGACAAGGTATGACAGCAACTCATGCTTCGGTTTTGTTTACTTGGCCAGTGTTTCATATGCTTACTTTTTAACATTTGTGGCACAAATCCATTGTAAGTCAATGGTGCCTATATTAGCATTTTCGCGGTTCATATCCAAATAATCTATAAGTAACATCATTGAGTTACACAATCAATTTTGAGATACTTTAGGATGATTTGGACATGATGCGTGAAATTGCTAACATAGGTACTATTGACTTGTATTGGATTTGTGCCACACATGATAAGCATCTCCAATCCAAAGTTAAATCTAGAATCGGCTTCCTATTTCGCAACAAAGCCTCCTTCACTCATGCTGCTAAACATGCCCTCGTAAAACTGACTATCCTACCGATCCTTGACTTCGGCGATGTCATTTACAAAATAGCCTCCTACACTCTACTCAGCAAATTGGATGTAGTCTGTCACAGTGCCATCCACACATGCTAAAAAGTTAGCATTTGAAACAGTGGACAACAAAACCAATGTATGGATCTCCCGAGTGGTGCAGTGGTCTAAGGCACTGCATAGCAGTGCTAGCTGTGCCTCTAGAGATCCTGGTTTGAATCCAGGCTCTGTCGTAGCCGGCCGCGACCGGGAGGGACTGCACAATTGGTAGGGGAGGGACTGGCTGGCAGGGATGTAGCTCAGTTGGTAGAGCATGGTGTTTGCAATGCCAGGGTTGTGGGTTTGATTCCCACGGGGAGCCAGTATGAAAAATAAAAGCTGCTAAATGACTAAAATGTAAATGGATTGCTGTCATACCTTGTGCATAGACTGCTTACAGGGTAAGGAAACAAATATGTCTCACGGGGGGTAAACATTGCCATGACCCTGGCTGCCAATGGATGAAGTAATGTCGGCAACTGTAACTTATTCTAAGCAATGTACCCTCTCAATGCTGCTCCCTTCTGTCAGTATCAGTGTACTACAGGATTGTACACCACTGTTGAATCCAGTGGTGGAAAAAGTACCCAAATCTCATACTTGAGTAAAAGTAAAGATACCTTAATAGAAAATGACTCAAGTAAAAGTCACCCAGTAAAATACTACTTGAGTAAAAGTATTTGCTTTTAAATATACTTGTGTATCAAAAGTAAATATAATACAATTAAGTAATACTTTCAAATATTTTTACTTAAGTACTTTACACCACCGGTTGAATCATAGCAGATTTACATTTACATTTTAGTCATTTAGCAGACGCTCTTATCCAGAGCGACTTACAGTTAGTGAATACATATCTTTTTATACTGGCCCCCCGAGGGAATCGAACCCACAACCCTGGCGTTGCAAACGCCATGCTCTATCAACTGAGCTACATCCCTGCCGGCCATTCCCTCCCCTACCCTGGACGCCGCCCATGAGTCTCCCGGTCGCGGCCGCTGCGACAGAGCCTGGATCTCTAGTGGCACAGTTAGCACTGCGATGCAGTGCCTTAGACCACTGCGCCACTCAGGAGCTCGATCAGATCAGAATGAAAATGAAAAAAATCGATGTCACATTGTGCGTATATTTAATTTGTTTAAACACGTTTCTCTAAACACATTTTTTTTTTACACTAGGATCCTCTGTATTCAAAGAAATTAGGTATATCAAGAAAGACAACAAGTCCCACGAGGCATCACTTTATGTTTTAACCGGAAGCACTTTGTTTTTCTTCCTTTCTCCAGTTGCATTCTGGGTAGTCGGAAAACGAACAAAATACTCTCGCTGCTGGTTAATTCATTCGTACGTTTGAGACACTTGAAAGACCGCAGAAATCAAGAAAGAACAACTTCGTTGCAGTTGAAATTACGGTAAACAAAATACTACATTTAAACCAATTTTGAATGTTTGCTGTAGGTAGTTACCGGTTGCGTTAGTTGCTAGATTGCTTCTACTAACGTTATCCAGTGAGGCCAACACACCCGCCCTTGCCAGCATGCTTAGACCAACAGATGAGTAGCCTATAGCTAACTAACTACGTTTGGCTGTTTGAAAATCCTATTTTTATTTACCTGGCTCAGAAATGATGTGGAAGTAACTATCAATATTGGTACTGAAACTCACTTCTCTTTTCAGTAGAATTGAAAAGGTTTGTTACTTTGTTTACAATATAGGCCAAAATATAAGGTCATGCTCAGATTCAGTGTTTAATAGTCAAATGTACAGGGTTGCAGGTGTGATTGCAGGGTACAGTGAAAAATCTTAGGCTTCGAGCTCCAAATGCAGGACTAAATAACTAGGCGTACAGAGAATTGAATACCATTGTCACAGTAATTGTAAGCCAGGCCAGGTGACAATACAATTGCGAAGAACCTCAAGAGGGGAGTACATCCTCTGGTTGGCCAAGTACAAGTTCAGTGCACCTCGTTTGAACAATAGGCCAGGCGTATCATTGTTAACAGTGGAGACCAACCTTGAACTGGGTCAGCCAGGTGAGTGCATGGACTGTAGGGGTTGGTTTTCCAGATAAAAGGTGAAAGTGGGGCAGTGTATGGAAGGGGGGGGGGGGGCAGGACTCTGGCTCAGCACAGCACAACCAGGGGTGAGGCAGAGCAAATCAAGCACTTTATTTATGGTAGGCTAATCTCTTCATTTTACGCAAACCAAATGTGGTGTCTCTTTTATACCTTTTTTTATTGTGATGGTGCCAATTATTTTCTGCAGACGAGTCTGTACCTTGTCTCTGTTTCTACAGGACCCTTGCAAATATGTCCATTGGCGTGCCCATCAAAGTTCTGCATGAAGCAGAGGGTCACATTGTGACCTGTGAGACCAACACTGGTGAAGTGTACAGGGGAAAGCTCATTGAGGCTGAGGACAACATGAACTGCCAGGTAGGTCTTCAGACTGCCTTTAGGGTTCAGACAAAATAACTTGTTTTAGGGGATATTTGTGAGCTCATCGGTATAGGAGGGATTTGTTTGTCCCTTTTACAGAGTTGTGTAGTAAGTGTATATAGCTTCCTTTCAGATGGCCAATATCACTGTGACTCATCGGGATGGGCGTGTAGCCCAACTGGAGCAGGTCTATATCCGGGGCAGCAAGATTCGCTTCCTGATCCTACCGGACATGTTAAAGAATGCCCCTATGTTAAAGAGCATGAAAAACAAGAACCAGGGCTCTGGAGCAGGAAGGGGGAAGGCAGCCATTCTCAAAGCTCAGGGTGAGTGCTGCTGCTTCTACATGCACCTATGGAGAATTTGCACTCTAAGTATTTAATTTTTTTATTTTTTCTGCAGTGGCTGCAAGAGGACGGGGTCGTGGTGGAGGAATGGGAAGAGGAAACATTTTCCAGAAGAGGCGATAGTATCTGCAATGGTTAATTTAAAATTATTGCATTGTACAGTTATTTTTTCTTTAGAATTGTGTACACTATTTGATCTAATTGTTTTGCTAGCCTTTTACATTTTGCAAGAACTGTGTTTTTGACTTTTTTTTTCTTTAAAAAAAAGAAATAAGGTTATTTTTTAAATAAATTGCCAGTTCCCCTGTGTCAATTTGTATTTGAAGTGCCTTTGGTCTCAATCAAATTATTGTCATGTGCTTTGTGAACAGGTCTGGACAAACAGTGAAATGCTTATTTATGGGCCATTTTCAACAATGCAGAGAAATGTTGAGTTAATAGAAAGATAACATGAGGAATAAGTACACAATTAGTAATGATAACTTACCAGTACTGAGTCGCTGTGCAGGGGTACAAGGTAATTGAGGTAGATATGTGCATATAGGTAGGAATTAAGTAACTAGGCAACAGGATTGCTAATCAACAGTAGCAGCAGTGTATGTGAAGGGTCAATGCAGATAGGTTAACTATTTAGCAGTCTTATGGGGGGGTAGAAGCTGTTCAGGGTCCTGTTGGTTCAGCCTTGCTGAGCGAACAGTATATGACTTGGGTGGCTGGCGCCTGACAATTTGTAGGTCCTTCCTCTGACACTGCCTTGTATAAAGGTACTGGGCTGTATGCACTGCCCTCTGTAGTGGCTTGTGTTCAGAGGCCGAGCAGTTGCCATACCAATCAGTGACGCAGCCAGTCAAGATGCTCTCAATGGTGCAGCTATAGAACATTTTGAGGGGGAAGAGGCTTTGTCGGGCCTTCATGCCTGTTCGTGTGTGTGGACTCTTGAGTTATTGTGATGTACAATGCAACTGCTTTTTGATTAAAGTCGAACTATACAGTTAGCGTTTTCCCACTTTACCTGGCTTTCTGGGTCGTCACATTATATAGTTGTTATACCACATGGTGGAGCCAAAATGAATCAAGGCTACATTATGCTTCTATGCCAAGAAAGGCCAAAGCCATGCAAAGTTTGTTTTAGCTATGCTCCGACAATTAGGGCTGAATAGCTATTTTTCCTGTTGTGAATATTCAGGGGTAAATAATAAAACTGTTTGAGAGCGCCCACCACCCACAGCGTTTCACCAGCTGGCTACACGGTGTCTGCCCAGCTGTATTGGTCAGTCAGAGGATGCTCGCCACCTATCACGTTGCTTCGTTCAGTTTCTTCATATAGCTAGATATTTTATCAGCAACATCAACGCTATTTTATACATCAGAGTCAGGGATTAGCACACGGAACACCCTTAGTTCATATTTGCACTTGACAAGGTACGTTTTTGAGCAACGATTAGATGGTAATGTTATTTCTACCATGCGTAATGTTTGTGGTCGAGGGATTGTTTTTGCAAAGAGCGAGCGTCGCTTCCACTAATCTTCGTTTAGGTTAGCAACCTAGCTAGCTATACATCTTTTATGCTGTAACTTGCTAGTTTTCTGTAATCTGTTATGAATGTGAACCTTGCATGATTCCTTTGATGTTCTGAGTGTGTATGCCTTTTCATTATCCATCGCTCTTGTCTTGCGCCCAGGACATTCTCTATCCGGTCATTTACATTTTAGCCTGCAAGCTGGATTTACATTATCTAAGAAATGTCATGGAATTAACCTTAGTTTGCGTCTACTGATTGTTTTGATGTGCTAACTGACGGGCCCAGCCCGTCAGTCGACTGGGGTCCTATGTTTGTGTGTGTGTGTAACGTATAGGCTATCGGAATCATCTTCTTCGGAATGAAATATCTGGTTACCGACGATAATAATTGTGGGTTTGTAGAAAAACATTGACATTCATGCAAATTACTTCCCATTCAATTGATGACTGACCATATCGACAAGTCATGGCAGCTACAGTGAAATCATCGTGATACCAAACTTTACACGTGCATGCTTCTAGCATCTCTGATTGGTCAAATATATACCAAATAGGCCTAATAATGGGCACCCTCAGTCCCATTGAGGCCTCTCCATAAATAGTACAGTACATCAGCTGTAGTCTGCTTGAGAGAGAGGAGACTCATCTTGCCATTCACAGGCTCAGATCAGTGCCAGGGTTGATCTGTAATGATGCTTAGAATACTCCTCTGCTCCAGATGGCCCTGTGTTGTTGCCCTCAGAGCAGCATCTGTTTGTTTCCAGGGCTGGAAGGAAGCTGCTTCTTCAGCGATCCACTGTAATGAAGGATCACAGACGTTTAATGGCCTTAGTCTCAGATCTCTAGGAGCAAGGAAGTAAGTTGTCTGTCTTTGCCTGGCAATGACTCCATTTTAGCTGCCTTGACAAAAAGTGACAATGTATTAATAAGTAGTCTTACTACTTGTGTGTGAATATCTAAATCACTGACTGTGTGTGCATTAGCATCTCAAGCAAGTGGAAATGGGTCTTGAGCCGTTTCTCACCATCCATCTGAGATCACCATCCATCTACGAGAATCGAACATTTCAACAAGCATTTTGCTACGGCTGGCCATGCTTTCCACCTGGCTACCCCGGCCACCAGCTCTGCACCCTCCGCTGCAACTTGCCCAATCGATTAAAGACAGTACTGTGCAGCCGTCTTCATTGACCTGGCCAAGGCTTTCGACTCTGTCAACCACCGCATTCTTATTGGCAGACTAAATAGCCTTGGTTTCTCAAATGACTGCCTCGCCTGGTTCACCAACTACTTCTCAGTTCAATGTGTCAAATCGGAGGGCCTGTTATCTGGACCTCTGGCAGTCTCTATGGGGGTGCCACAGGGTTCAATTCTCGGGCCGACTCTATTCTCTGTGTATATCAATGATGTCGTTCTTGCTGCTGGTGACTCAGATCCACCTCTACGCAGACGACACCATTTTGTATACATCTGGCCCTTCATTGGACACTGTGTTAACAAACCTCCAAACGAGCTTCAATGCCATACAACACTCCTTCCGTGGCCTCCAACTGCTCTTAAATGCTAGTAAAACTAAATGCATGCTCTTCAATCGAACACTGCTTGCACCCGCCTGCCCGACTAGAATCACTATTCTCGGCGGGTCTAACTTAGAATATGTGGACAACTACAAATACCTAGGTGTCTGGTTAGACTGTAAACTCTCCTTCCAGACTCACATTAAGCATCTCCAATCCAAAGTTAAATCTAGAATCGGCTTCCTATTTCGCAACACAGCCTCCTTCACTCATGCTGCTAAACATGCCCTCGTAAAACTGACTATCCTACCGATCCTTGACTTCGGCGATGTCATTTACAATATAGCTTCCAACACTCTACTCAGCAAATTGGATGTAGTCTGTCACAGTGCCATCCATTTTGTCACTAAAGCCCCATATACTACCCACCATTGTGACCTGTACCCTCTTGTTGGCTGGCCCTCACTACATATTCGTAGCCAAACCCACTGGCTCCAGGTCATCTATAAATCACTTCTAGGCAAATCCCCGCCTTATCTTAGCTCATTGGTCACCATAGCAACACCTACCCGTAGTATGCGTTCCAGCTGGTATATCTCACTGGTCATCCCCAAAGCCAACACATCCTTTGGTCGTCATTCCTTCCAGTTCTCTGCTGCAAATGACTGGAACGAACAGCAAAAATCTCTGAAGCTGGAGACACTTATCTCCCTCACTATCTTTAAGCATCAGTTGTCAGAGCAGCTTACCGATCACTGCACCTGTACACAGCCCATCTGTAATTAGCCCACCCAACTACCTCATCCCCATATTATTTACATTGTTATTTATTTTGCTCATTTGCACCCCAGTATCTCTATTTGCACATCATCTTCTGCACATCTATCACTCCAGTGTTAATACTAAATTATAATTGTAATTATTTTTGCACTATGGCCTATTTATTGCCTTACCTCCATAACTTACTACATTTGCACACACTGTATATAGATTTTCTATTGTGTTATTGACTGTACGTTTTGTTTATTCCATATGTAACTCTGTGTTGTTGTTGTTTTTACCGCACTGCTTTGCTTTATCTTGGCCAGGTCGCAGTTGTAAATGAGAACTTGTTCTCAACTGGTTTACCTGGTTAAATAAAGGTGAAATATAAAAGGTAGTTTGAACACAGTGGGCTAGCTAAGCCTACATCTTGGGTCACTTCTCACCAACTTTCTCTTCTCTCCTTAAGCTAAATCAGGCTATTGTGGAACAGTGTAGGTACATTACAAGAGAGAGGTTCCCAAAACACAAAATATACTCTGTTGTGATGCCATTCATACAATATTTAAGTTAGGTTGCACAGGACGTTCCTATAATGTTGACAGAACACCTGGTCTAAGTTATTTAATGGTTCCCTGAACATTTCATTAAGTTATGGGAGTTGTCTGGGATGTCGCAAGAATGTTCTTGTGATATTCACATAGGTTGCACAGAACATTCCCACAATGTTGCACAATACAGTTTAGTTTAGTCACCAGGGGAGGGTACAGTGCTCTGCTCTGAAAATAATGAGGGGGCAATTCGTTGTTGGGTCTGATTTCCTTTATTCTCTGTGATCTGTTGAAACTGGCCCCTGTTTGATATTGTTACTTGGTAACGAATGATGGAGGAAGATTCCCAAGGGTTCCACGTCATGTTCTGGAAATGTCTTTCTTCTTCAAAAGATTAACACACAAGACTAATGTTTTCCCCTGGTAGCACTGGGGCCACTAACCTTTTCAGTTGGTGGCACAAGCCAATGATTTAAAATGTTGTTGCTGCGTCACGCAATAGAAAAAACATATGTATATTTTTTAAAAATCATTTAGCAGACGCTCTTATCCAGAGCGACTTACAGTTAGTGAGTGCATACATTTTTCATACAGTAATCACCTTATAAAGTTACTCACAGTGCAATAAGCAGTTGAAACAATAACAAAGCGTATTCACCGCCACTGTTTTGGTAAAAAGCTGAGGGAAGGGGCTAGAGAAGTTGGGGTCAATCCCATTAAAATTCTACTCAATTCAGGAAGTACACTGAAATTCACATTTTCTTCAATGCTTTTCAATTAGGAATTGTAATGGGGGTTTGGTTTACTTTCTGAATTGACCGGAATTGAAATGGAATCGACCCCAACCCTGGTGTTTAGTAGGAGATATAATGAGGTAGGGGTCATTGGTGAAGTACAGCAGGCACTAACAGGGAATAAGGCTGGAGATAGCCTAGACAACACAAGCCACAAGCACCCACTCCAAGCTGAGTGGGAGACATGACTGAGGGGACAGGGAGGGGGTGGATAGAAGTGGTGTGAGCCAGAGCAGGAGAGACCCATACAGAGATTATAAAGAGGCATCTAGAGGGAGTTGTATGAATAGAGAAAATGTGAAAGAGTGAGTCCAGGAGAGAGCAAAAGCAATTCACTCCCAGAAGATGTATAGAAGAGACAGACCGTGTGGAGGCGAGGGGAAAAGAGGAGAATCAAGACCAGCTGGATGGGGCGTGTCTTCCCACACACCTTCTCCTCGTTGTAGAGGAGAATCAAGGCCACCTGGATGGGGCGTGTCTTCCCACACACCTTCTCCTCGTTGTGAACTTGGCAGGGGGACGAGTGTCTATTTTTTCCTGTCTGCTTTGATTCTCCAGTCTATGGGGCCCACTCAGTTCGCACACACTGAGCTCCAATTCCCTCAACACCATGTCAGGAATCAACCTGCCGAGAGAAATCGCTCCGTCTTTACCACCCTTGACGGGCAGAGTCAACATCAGAACAGATAATGGACCCAGATTGGGTTGTGAACAGGGGGTTGTACTTGAGCTAGAGGTAAACAACCTTGGTTGGCTAGAATAGATAACCTAACCCCCTATAGAGACTTCGAGAGTCCAACCATTCAGATATGTTGTTTCTGATTCCAGCCCTGTTTGTTGTTAGCACATGGAGAAGCAATATGCTAGTAATGTCGCCTAGCCTAAGTTCAAACAGCTGTAGGTTGAGTGGTTCTCAAGAATGTTTATGAAGTTGCTTTGTGTTTGCGTCATCTTGTTAGGATTTGTTTGTTGGCACCTCTACTCATTTTCAGTTGAAAGAGCTAAGATGATGTTGCAGGTTGGAATTCCAAGTGTGTCTGGCTCATCTTATATTTACATTTTAGTTATATTTAGCAGGTGCTCTTATCCAGAGCGACTTATAGTCTTGATATTTTGCCCTTGAGCAAGGTCAGGATCAAGGCTCTGTCTGTCTACAGACCTGTGTTGTAAATGATAGCCTAAATGTCAGACATTTTAGGTTTTCCGTTGTTCACCAAGTTCTCTGTGTTGAAAGGTGAAATATCATTTTTATTTTGTGTTTTTTGCTTTTAGCGGTCTGCTCTCCTGAGGTAGACCACTGATGGAGCAGCGACATACAGGCTCTGGGGACAGTCGTTGTCATGTTTCCATGTGTTTCCTCCTGGCCCTCTGCTGAGCCCCCGTCGCCCTGCGGCCATGCCTCCCTGCCCACACACACACACACACAGCCCCTGCCTGACCTACTGTGCCGCTGCCCCGCCCCAAAAATGAACCCCCACCCCGTCCCAGACTACATGGAGTCCCTTATCGTGGTGACTGAGTACGAGCCCAAGGGGGGTGAGGAGGAAATGGAGTGCTCTGAGACCCCTGAGCACGGCGCGCTCCCCTTCAGAGCCCACTCCTGCGACCTGCTGTCCCACGCTGTGGGCCGCCCCGAGGCCCTGTTCCCTGAGCCCCAGGAGCACCGGGGAAGACTAAACCTGTCAGACCGGAAGCTGTCCCTGCAGGAGCACTCCCAGACGGCCTCGTCCCCCAACGGGCGCTACATCTACCCCTCGCTGCCCTACTCGCCCATCACCTCGCCCCACTCCTCCCCCCGGCTGCCCCGTAGACCCACCGTGGAGTCTCACCGCGTCTCCATCACTGACCTGCAGGTAGGCCACGCCACCACAGCCCTTCTGCCTTTTACCCTCCTACTTGGTCTTTGGAATAAAACACCATTTTGTGTTAGCCAAATTCTATGAACACACATCAGCTGAACTTGTGCGTTTGTCTCCAGTGGTAAATGAAGCAGCATACTGGTATAAAGGTTGAGCGTATGTGAAGGTAAGGTTCATGGTCTTAGTAGATGCCAGCTCACTCCCCAGTAGATCTCAGAAGCATAGTCCAGTAGACTCCCTGTAGAGATGGCTTGTGTCCCTAATAGCACCCTATTCCCTACATAGTGCACTACTTTTGACCAGAGCCCTATGGGCCCTGCTATTTGGGACGCAGATATGGGCTGCGTTCCAAACATGTAAAAGACACATCCTCCTCCACTTACCCTCACCTTATGCCCTTGGGGGAATCCCAACGGCCATCTTTGCCGTCGGTCCAAACAATTAGCCAAGCAATGTAAGCCCCTCAGCCCTCGTTTGTGATCCAGTGTGTGAGTGTACAATTCTGTTCACTCCGTGGCCTTAAATGCCCCATAATTCAATTCGCGATGATTGTACATCCGCTAAGAAAAGTCAGTCAAAACTTAAAACCAACATCAATATGGAGAAGTCAACATACAAGTGTAAGTAAAAAACGAATGTAAATAAGTTAGAAATTGTGCTACTAATGCACATGACGGCACAAACACGTCTCGTAAAAGTAATGATGTTTTTGTTTGGTTAGCTTTTGGAAACGTTATCTAGCGCATACAATTCTCCCTGACATCACACTTATACATTGTAATTTTTGATTTACCTGATTTCATTGGATGGCTAGTATTCGATGTCTGTGGATGCTTTGTCTTCTAGCCAAGATATGAAATGCAATCATAATTGACTGTAGCGCATATAAAGCACACACAACAGCTACCGGTGGTTCCATGATGACTGAAAACACAACCTTGGGAAGAACGAGTGACGAATTTCTGGGCAAGGGCGGTTCATTTAAAATTAATTCATTCTTCCCTCGCCCCTTGCCCTGCAAGTGTCAATCATACTTCATGATATGTCATTAGAAGTGTCCACTTAATTTGAGCGCTGAGGGGAGAGGGTGTGTCTTTTACGTGTTTGGAATGCAGCCATGGTCTCTCTGCTTGCTAGGCTGTTACCCTGCTCCTTGAACACCTCTAGACTTTACAGGGTAAAAACTAGCAGATCCCATTACTCATGATTGGTACAGACTTACATTTTTTGGTGTTTTGGTAGTTTGTTTTCCAAGTTGAAACATAATGAAGGTTTTGTTAGTTAACACATTGCTTTTACATGTATTGTTGGTTCTGCTAATGGGATGATTGTGTCAGACCAAGAAAAAGGCATTAGTCAACCAAAGACGTCTGTTTTCTCTCTCTCTCAAAGGACTGCGTGCAGCTCAACCAGTACAAGCTGAAAGATGAAATCGGAAAGGTACTGTCGTCTCTCCTCAAAGCACTTCACCATTCCTCTATCTATGGCCTACTGTGCATGTTTTTAAAAAGTCAGAGGATCATTAAGGACATGCTTGCCGTCATTCTCAGTTCTCCCTGCCAGCCTTGTCCTCATTTCAAATTCCCTAAAATCCCTGGCCTAGGGAGAGTTAAGAGGAGGATGATAGGTTGGTATAAATAGCACTAGTCTCCTCTTCTCTCCTTGGGTAGTGTGTGGGGCAGAGTGGGTATGTTCTGTGTGGAGCAGTAGGCAGTGGGAGCCTCTCAAGATGGGTGGTTGGAGAGAGTTCTGCCTGCTATCTAAGATGTGTGGTGGAGGTGTGGCGGGTAGATTTGAATTTGACTGTACTTGATTTGAAGCCGCTGGTCCTCATTGAGAGTACTCAGCCCACACATTTCCGATGGGTCAGCTTGGGATAGCTATTGTGTGTGGGTGGGTGTTTGTGTGTGTATCCTTTTGAGTGTGTACTGTAGGTTTTTATTTGTGTGGATGATTGACAGCTACTGAATGTCACACTGCCTGTGCTCTCCTGTTCTCTTACAAGGGCTCCTATGGTGTTGTCAAGCTGGCCTACAATGAAGACAACAACACCTATTACGTGAGTCCAGCTGGCCACCTTACACACACACACACATAAGGACTGATCGCTATGAGGTATGACAGTATGTAAAGCAGAACAGAGGCAATTGGTTGGATAATTAATTAAGCAACACTCGCAGTTCTGTAATGTGTTTCTTGTATTGTGTACAAGTAATGCATCCTCTATCAATAGAAGCATGTGCACCAGTGGAGGCTGCTGAGGGGAGGACGGCTCATAATAATGGCTGGAACGGTGCGAATGGAATGGCATCAAACACCTGGAAACCATGTGTTTGATGTATTTGATACCATTCCGCTCCAGCCATTACAATGAGCCCGTCCTCCCCAATTAAGGTGCCACCAACCTCCTGTGATATGCACAGGTTTGTAGCATGTAACTACAATCCCCTTTACTGTACATCTCTCCATACTTTGATGTCAGACCTCTCCTCCTCCCTCTCTCCCTCCTCCTCTCCTCCAGGCGATGAAAGTGCTGTCCAAGAAGAGGCTGATGAGGCAGGCAGGTTTCCCACGTAAGTACTGAGCCTGAGGCAGATGGTCAATCCAGCAGGGAGTACATAGACTATTTAGTACACTACAGTGGGACTTTGCTGCTGTAGACCAGTGGTCACCAACCTTTTCTGAGTCAAGATGCAAGCCGAGATCTACCGCTCAGATGTTTAAAAAGAAAAACGTACGCCTATGTAACATTAACCTATAAAAACGTTTCTGTAGTAATGAGGTTTGTACAGCTATAGGCCCAATACATTATCACTGCATATGGGCTATGCTTGAACTGCCCTGCCAATGTTGTTCTTCTCAGACCATTTTGAAATGTAGGTATATGATCACACTGGTAATAGATCATTTGTTGTCTTACTTGTGAGGCACAGCTGAGTGAGCATAAACATTTTCTTTTTATTTAATTTTACTGGACTGATGGCCTGCATCTGATGGTCAGTCTGAGGGGAGGGAGCAGCAGTGAGGCTGTCTCTCACCCGACACACCGTCCCTCCGCTCTCCCTCCCTCCGCTGAGAAAAGGGAACAGTCTTCCAGCTGATGATGACAACTCAAGTCGCACTGCATTATTTCTGCCTCATGCACTAATTCATGTTAATCCGATGTCCAGATAAAGTTAAATATTACTCAATATAAAAAAGGGACATGCCGCTAATAATAACAATGCAAACTTATCGAAACACTTTGCTATACTCATCAATTGCAGCTGCAGTGCTGGTTGTAGCGTGAGTGGAAGTAGGGAGAAAGCGCATTTTATGGCTTATAAAAGTTTTGAAGAAAGTGTTGACACTGCTGAATAACAACTTAAACATGAACTTACTCATCAGCGCTTTGCTGTATTTGTTGACTCTCTCTAGTCATGGTTTTAACATTTTTGAAATCTCAGTATCAACTTTGCTCTGCGTTCGAGGTTTCGTTTTACAGTCTATGGCTCGAGGGAACTGTGCAGACACGGTGATCTGAGCTATCTGAATGGCCAGCAGTAGGCCTATAGGTGCACTTGATTTGCTCTCTGGGCCTGCCAGGTAGGTGAAGTTCTACCTTCAGAAACATGAAATGGTTAAAAATGGGAACACTTTGCCTTCCCGGGGTGCTAAGGCTGCTGAATCAAGTGCACCTGCCACCAACAGTGCGAAACGAATAAAAAAAATAGGAACACAAGACATTATCATTGGGTTTTTTAAAGAAATTATTGGTGATCGACTAGGAATGCCTTGGAGATCGACCAGTTGATCGCGATCGACCGGTTGGTGACCACTGCTGTAGACTAACAAGGCCACTATACTCTCTCCCCTCCTTCCCTCCCCCCTCCTTCCTGTCCACCTGCAGGGAGGCCACCCCCCCGCGGAGCCAAAGCAGCCCCCGAAGGCCCCCCTCAGCCAAAAGGACCCCTGGAACGTGTCTACCAGGAGATTGCCATCCTAAAAAAGCTGGACCATCCCAATGTTGTGAAGCTGGTGGAGGTGAGGCTCTGGAATCTGGATGGTGTTCGTCCTCTTAACTCAAGCTGTTGTGTATTGCCAATGCATAATACATTTGTAATGCATTGTGTTGCTGTTTGAGTTCAGTGTTATTTTCATGAAACAGGAACCTCCCTGCTTCAATTGTTTTGTCAAAAATTGTATACAATATTAATGTGACTGCGCATTGGCACCATGGCACTGTCAGGGATTGCAAGTTGACTTGTGTTTACCACAGACTGCTAGTATTGTAGTGTTCTGTAGGCCTAATATTTGTGTTCCTCTCATCTGCGTCCCTCTCTTTTCCTGCCAGGTTCTTGACGACCCTGGTGAGGACCATCTGTACATGGGTAAGATTGGCCTTTTTCTCTGATTGGCAGTGCACACATGCACACACACACACACACACACTGATAGATATCCCTTTTGTTCACATTACACAATCACTGTTCAACATCATTAGGACTGATCGTTATGAGGTGTGAGACACACGTCCCACTCACTTCCTAATCAGACCCACTCACAGATTTGATCAATTCAATCATGATAACTAACTAGCTAAAGCGTTGATGATGGTGCTTATGTAATGACGGCACCTCTGTTCTGTTCACAGTGTTCGAGCTGGTCAAAAAGGGGTGAGTTAATCCTCTTGTTACTGTAATAATTATAAGCTGGAGTGAGCCCAATCTCGTTAAGCACTGGCGCTCAGTTCACTGCTCTCGCTCTGTGTGTGTCTGTGTCTGTGTGTGTGTGTATGTGTGTGTTTCTCTTGCTCGTGCGCAGGGCTGTAATGGAGGAGCTGCCCACGGACAAGCCGCTGAATGAGGACCAGGCTCGGTTCTACTTCCAAGACCTGGTCAGGGGGATTGAGTTCTGTAAGTGGATTCTCTTCTCTAATCACAGTACTGTCTGTGCTCTTCCTCTCTTTACTGCTGCTCACCGGTAGCTCACCTGTGTTCCATATAAATGCTGTTTTGAATGGAAAAAGATTTACACCCACACCCTGGCTGCGAAGCTGAAACATCTGTGTATGCTTTATGCAACACCTTTTTGCTTATCTAAGTTTACGGGTTTCACGCACCCACCAAACCATTGGGAGAGCACAATGGTCTTCTTCTGATTCCTCTCTTCAGCCACCCACTGCCTCCTTTCCCCAATGCACATAATCACAATGGCTTTTAGTGGCATTATTGCACTCCATCACAGGATGCGTCCTAAATGGCACCCTATTTCCTATATGAGGCTCTGGTCAAAGTAGTGCACTATATAGGGCATAGGGTGCCATTCGGGACGCACAAACAGGCTTACCACAAGCTCTGTATTCTACCAGAGCAGTACAGGTGGAGAGATCGAGGGAGGGAGATGCACTCAAACCTCTCTTCCTCTCCCACATACAACTACTCAGACAAATCCCCCCCTTTCTTAAAGACAAAGAATCCTAATTTCCCTGTATCATCAGGAGGTGTTATACTGAGGTGTGTTTGAAACAGATTGAGATCGTACCGGATAAACTCACCCACAGCTTGAAATGTCGCCATTGAATCGGATCCTTTTCAGTGGCGCAAATGGTTAGTAGGTTGTCAAGCAGGCGGTCATGTGTTTGCGAACAGAGGGTCACTAGTTAAAGCGGTGTTATGGACAGGGACTGTGAAGGAGCAATACTGTTAGCAGCACAGTGACGCTGGTTTTCAGTACGGGAAAAAAAAAGTAGGACAATTACTGCAAGTCGCTGGATAAGAGCGTTTGCTAAATGACTAATAATAACGTGTTGTTTTCCAGTGCATTACCAGAGGATCATCCACCGGGACATCAAGCCCTCTAACCTCCTGGTCGGCGAGGACGGTCGCATTAAGATCGCTGACTTTGGGGTCAGTAACCAGTTTGAGGGGGCAGACGCCCTCCTGACCAGCACGGTTGGCACGCCCGCCTTCCTCGCCCCCGAGACCCTCTCCGAGACCAGGAAGAACTTCTCTGGCAAGGTGAATGAGCTTCTGTCACCCCCTGGAGGGCTCTTTGGGAATTAAATATTAGCGATATCCTCTGGAATTCCTATAGTGCAACTGTAATGAGGAAATGTTTTGGAATGATGTGGGTTTTAAATGAATTCTGTTTCTTCTTATAGGCATTGGATGTTTGGGCCATGGGAGTGACGCTTTATTGTTTTGTGTTCGGAGTGGTAAACCTTTCCTTCCACTGCTCACTAACCTTACACTGTGTTCCACATATTATTACATCACAATCTGCATAATGCAATAGTACAGGTTTATTACTGATACTGAACATTTTTAATGCATAATTTTTCACCTGACATGTTCTCATTTGACGATCGAGTTGACTGTAATGTGACTCCTATCAACAGTGTCCCTTTATGGATGAAAGCATCCTCAGTCTTCATCAGAAGATCAAGACCCAGCCAATGGAGATGCCAGAGCAGTGAGTTCTCCATTCAACTCTATTGGGAGGGATAAGATCCATTACTAATGGATGACCCTAAGCGTCCTAACTCTTGTTGTGCCCCTACAGTGCAGACATATCTGACGATCTGAAAGATCTGCTACTGAAGATGCTTGACAAGAATCCAGAGACCAGGATATCAATACCACAGATTAAGGTCTGCTTCTTTGTGATTTGTTAGTGTGCGTGTGCACGTTTAGAATACACTTAGTGTGTGTGCCTACATCATGTTGGGCCTCTCTCTGCTCCCTCCAGGTGCACCCATGGGTGACACGGCACGGAGCGGAGCCACTCCCTCTGGAGGATGATAACTGCTGCATGCTGATCGAGGTGACTGAGGAGGAGGTGGAGAACTCTGTCAAACACATCCCCAGCCTGGCCACTGTGGTGAGTGGTGGGAGGACGACACACAGGACACACTGCACTGCCTTCAAAGCTAGAATCTGTAGTTGATACGTCCTTTTTTGGACGTATAAATTAATGATATATGCCCATTGATTCTTGAAGAATATAGTTTATAAATGCCTCATGAGCTTAGTTCAACTGTCGGTCCCACCCCATCAGAATCCAACATTTTAAAGTTGTTTTACTCCAATGTTTGTAAGCATTGTAAATGTAAAAAATTACTGTATAGTACATCTAAGGAAAACCTAGAATAGTATAAAAGTAATCCTTCTACCTACCCACACCCCCCCGTCCCCCCCATAACACAAAAAAAAAAAGTGCTTGTCCCACTGGCTATCATAAGGTGAATGCACCAATTTGTAAATCGCGCTGGATAAGAGCGTCTGCTAAATGATGTAAATGTAAAATAGTCTCAACATGGTTAAAACTATCATTTTGATTTCTCCAGGCCCATCCCTCATTTTACAGCAGGCGGTCTCTTGCTGTACTGGGAAATGAGGCCACACTTTACAGTTCACAAAAGATACCTTATGAATGTTCATTCATTTATTTAATATTGTCCGTTTCCTTTCAGCTCTTTGATTGTTTCATCTACAATTGCTGTCGTACAGCTGGGTAGTTACACTGGTTACAAAGAAGTTATAGAGTAATTACACCATGAGGGCAACTTTTATATGAAGTGTTGCTAAATATGTAACTAATAAAAGACTGTTTGAACTCTGACCAGAAAAAGTGAATGATAAACTTAGGACATTGAATGATCTGCTCATAGCCTCTCTGCTCTGTGACAGGTGTCATTCTGAACTCTGTGGTATAGCCCATTAAAACGTCTCTGTCTCTGTAGATCCTGGTGAGGACCATGCTGAGGAAGCGATCCTTTGGGAACCCCTTTGACTGGGGCCGTCAGAGAACCGAAGACCGAGGCACCAGTCTGTCTGCACCAGGACACATGCTCACGTAAGTCCCCCTCTCTTAGGCCTTTTACACTGCTCTCTAGTCACTCTAACATCTTTTCTAAGCAGTTAGGGTTGCAAAAGTAACTTTCCCAGGTTTTCCCGAAATCCTGGTTGGAGGATTCTGGATTTTCTGCTTATTTCTGGAACATTTCTGGAAAACCTGGCAAGTTTGAGAAAGTTTCCAGAAATCTGCAATCCTAAAAGCAGAAAATGCTTTTGAATAACTACAGTGGCTTGCGAAAGTATTCACCCCTCTTGGCATTTTTCCTATTTTGTTGCCTTACAACCTGAAATTAAAATAGATTTTTGGGGGGTTTGTATCATTTGATTTACACAACATGCCTACCACTTTGAAGATGCAAAATACGTTTTATTGTGAAACAAACAAGAAATAAGACAAAAAAACAGAACTTGAGCGTGCATAACTATTCACCCCCCCCCAAAGTCAATACTTTGTAGAGCCACCTTTTGCAGCAATTACAGCTGCAAGTCCTTGGGGTATGTCTCTATAAGCTTGGCACATCTAGCCACTAGGATTTTTGCCCATTCTTCAAGGCAAAACTGCTCCAGCTCCTTCAAGTTGGATGGGTTCCGCTGGTGTACAGCAATCTTTAAGTCATACCACAGATTCTCAATTGGATTGAGGTCTGGGCTTTGACTAGGCCATTCCAAGACATTTAAATGTTTCCCATTAAACCACTCGAGTGTTGCTTTAGCAGTATGCTTAGGGTCATTGTCCTGCTGGAAGGTGAACCTCTGTCCTAGTCTCAAATCTTTGGAAGACTGAATCAGGTTACCCTCAAGAATTTCCCTGTATTTAGCGCCATCCTTCAATTCTGACCAGTTTCCCTGTCCCTGCCGCTGGAAAAACATCCCAACAGCATGATGTAACCACCGCCATGCTTCACTGCGGGGATGGTGTTCTCGGGGTGGTGAGAGGTGTTGGGTTTGTGCCAGACATAGCGTTTTCCTTGATGGCCAAAAAGCTCAATTGTAGTCTCATCTGACCAGAGTACCTTCTTCGATATGTTTGGGGAGTCTCCCACATGCCTTTTGGCGAATACCAAACGTGTTTGCTTATTTTTTTCTTTAAGCAATGGCTTTTTCTGGCCACTCTTCCATAAAGCCCAGCTCTGTGGAGTGTACGGCTTAAAGTGGTCCTATGGACAGATACTCCAATCTCCGCTGTGGAGCATTGCAGCTCCTTCAGGGTTATCTTTGGTCTCTTTGTTGCCTTTCTGATTAATGCCCTCCTTGCCTGGTCCGTGAGTTTTTGTGTGCGGCCCTCTCTTGGCAGGTTTGTTGTGGTGCCATATTCTTTCAATTTTTTAATAATGGATTTAATGGTGCTCCGTGGGATGTTCAAAGTTTCTGATATTTTTTTATAACCCAACCCTGATCTGTACTTCTCCACAAATTTGTCCCTGACTTGCTTGGAGAGCTCCTTGGTCTTCATGGTTCCGCTTGCTTGGTGGTGCCCCTTGCTTAGTGGTGTTGCAGACTCTGGGGCCTTTCAGAACAGGTGCGTGTATATATACTGAGATCACGTGACAGATCATGTGACACTTAGATTGCACACAGGGAGACTTTATTTAACTAATTATGTGACTTCTGAAGGTAATTGGTTGCACCAGATCTTATTTAGGGGCTTCATAGCAAAGGGGGTGAATACATATGCACGCACCAATTTTCCGTTATTAATTTTTTAGATTTTTTTTTCATTTCACTTCACCAATTTGGACTATTTTGTGTATGTCCGTTACATGAAATTCAAATAAAAATCCATTTAAATTACAGGTTGTAATGCAGCAAAATAGGAAAAATGCCAAGGGGGATGAATAATTTTGCAAGGCACTGTATAATGTAGCTTTATATTACTCTGGAAAAGCTCTGTTTTGGAGGCTCTTTTGTACATGGCAACATGGCTAACTATTCTTATCTTGCAAAATGGATTCTCCTTTTTATTGTCATTAAATTATAGTAGGATGTCACGTACAGTATCAGTCAAAAGTTTGGACACACCTACTCATTCAAGGGTTTTTCTTTATTTTTACTATTTTCTACATTGTAGAATAATAGTGAAGACATCAAAACTATGAAATAACACATATGGAATCATGTAGTAACCAAAAAAGTGTTAAACAAATCAAAATATATTTTTTATTTGAGATTCTTCAAATAGCCACCCTTTGCCTTGATGACAGATTTGCAAACTCTTGGCATTCTCTCAACCACCTTCATGAGGTAGTCACCTGGAATGCATTTCAATTAACAGGTTTGCCTTGTTAAAGTTAATTTGTGGAATTTCTTTCCTTATTAATGCGTTTCAGCCAATCAGTTATGTTGTGACAAGGTAGGGGTGGTAAACAGAATATATCCCTATTTGGTAAAAGACGATGTCCATATTATGGCAAGAACAGCTCAAATAAGCAAAGAGAAACGACAGTCCATCATTACTTTAAAACATGAAGGTCAGTCAATCTGGAAAATGTCAAGAACTTTTACAATTTCTTCAAGTGCAGTCGCAAAAACCATCAAGCGCTATGATGAAACTGGCACTCATGAGGACCGCCACAGGAAAGGAAGACCCAGAGTTACCTCTTCTGCAGTGGATAAGTTCATTAGAGTTACCAGCCTCAGAAATTGCAGCCCAAATAAATGCTTCACAGAGTTCAAGTAAGACACATCTCAACATCAACTGTTCAGAGCAGACTGCGTGAATCAGGCCTTCATGGTCGAATTGCTGCAAAGAAACCACTACTAAAGGACACCAATAAGAAACACGAGCAATGGACATTAGACCGGTGGAAGTCTGTCCTTCGGTCTGAGTCCAAATTTGAGATTTTTGGTTCCATCCGCCGTAGGTGAACGGATGATCTCCGCATGTGTGGTTCTCACTGTGAAGTATGGAGGAGGAGGTGTGATGGTGTGGGGGTGCTTTGCTGGTGACACCGTCTGTGATTTATTTAGAATTCAAGGCACACTTAACCAGCATGGCTACTACAGTATTCTGCAGCGATACGCCATCCCATCTGGTTTGCGCTTAGTGGGACTATCATTTGTATTTCAACAGGACAATGACCCAACACACCTCCAGGCTGTGTAAGGGCTATTTGACCAAGAAGAAGAGTGATGAAGTGCTGCATCAGATGACATGGCCTCCACAATCCCCCGACCTCAACCCAGTTGAGATGGTTTGGGATGAGTTGGACAGCAGAGTGAAGGAAAAGCAGCCAACAAGTGCTCAGCATATGTGGGAACTCCTTAAAGACTGTTGGAAAAGCATTCCAGGTGAAGCTGGTTGAGAGACTGCCAAGAGTGTGCAAAGCTGTCATCAAGGCAAAGGGTGGCTACTTTGAAGAATCTAAAATATATTTTGATTTGTTTAACACTTCTTTTGGTTACTACCTGATTCCATATGTGTTATTTCATAGTTTTGATGTCTTCACTATTATTCTATAATGTAGAAAATAGTAAAAATAAAGAAAAACCCTTGAATGAGTAGGTGTGTCCAAACTTTTCACTGGTACATAAGATTTCTTCTCTCCCCGGGAGACCAATGATATGCTTGCTGTAGCAACCTCTTAATCTGCCCCCGCCAGCAAAGGGAGAGCGGGCAATGTGAGATACTGCTACATTCATAGTAACCAAAGAAGGTAAAGGACTATGGGCCTGCCACTGCCTTGCCTGCCTATCTATCTCAGTACTATTTAAGTTGTATGAAACTCACTTTAGTCCATAGGCATGAATGGTGTTCGTTGTCAAGTGCTCCTGTGTAACAGATCAACATACAGTCAAGGGAATAATTATAGCCAGTTCACAGGGGTACTTGAAACCATGTCTGGGAACCTCTTGCTGATTCCCAACTGCACTGGTATCTGTTATGATGTGGGGTTCCCTACTACCAAGTGCAATCTAAGGTGTTTTTGGCCAAATGTGAACTGTACAGCAATGAGCAGAAACCGTCAAGTCAGCAAATTAGAATAAATCTCATTGTCTAAACCCTGATTGTAATAACCTTCATAACATGATCAAGGTCAACCAGCCTGACTCGGTCCTTGGCCAAGCACTTATAGAACTGCAGCCTAAACACTTTTCCTGTGAAAACCCTGATTTAAATTTGGCCAAAAAACTGTATTAAAAAAATGGGTCACTGATTCCTCGCATGCAGCACCACAATACCCTCCCCCCTCCCAAGGACATACCAGTGAACTACTTTCATGTTTTTTTTGGTCTCTGACCTGAATGTTCAACCATCAGCTTGCTAAGTTCCCTCTCTGCTCGATCTCTCCAGTTATGTAGCTAACAAGTGAATGGTTCCGCTCAGTTTCCCAGCTAAACTGAGGTTAACTAGCTGTATCTCTACAGTGATAGAATTGACACAGGTACTTAGCACTGATGGCTGTATTGAATTCTGCTCCACCGGTTTGTTTCCTAGGAAACAAGAGAGTGGGGAGGGCATGAGAAGTGTGGACCTGCCCTTCGTGGGCGAAGATGAGGCTCTTTCCTGATGTGGTGTGGTTTTTCAGCGCGAGGGTGGGGGCATGCTAGCGAATTATGTTGGGGAAGCCACTAATGTTTTTTGTGGAGGAAGACATGACTGTTGGAAGAGCTCCAGGACTTCTGTTGGGATGTGACTGGAGCCTGGGAACCCTTTTGGTGAAAGCTCCCTCCTGACTGTGTCACTCACGAACACCTGTCTGTAATGCATGCTCATGTTTCTAGTCATAGCATGCTCTGTCTCAGGCTTCTGATGTAAAGGTCTGTATTAACTTAGGGACACGTGTTTCTCCACCCTCTCCTCCATTTGAAAATGCTCTCATGTTTACTGCAGGGCTATGGGGCCGGGAGGGGGTGTTTGTGGATGGTTGTACATTTCAAGGGGTGACTCCTGGCCCCCACATTTTAGTAGAGCAAGTTACTTGACCATGACTGTCTGGACCACTCATCATTAATGTGGCCAGTTTTGTAACAGTAAACAGGAGAGGTTTATTGAAATGAAAAAGGGAGAAAAAGGTTTACTAGCTACATTCATAGTATGCATGTGAGTTTTTTCTTTTCCAATGCAAACATTGTATATGCTACGTAAGTTGCACATTCATAGAATGAGTTATTGATGCACAATCTATTTGATTTATTAAGTCCTCACTAATGGTTTGTTGTAAAATGTCTCCCAGTTACTACAACTGGTAAAGAGCTTTTAAAAACTAAATGTTTTCTAATATGTTTTACTTCTCGAACGTGCGGAGGGTGAAGGATGATACAATGTTGAAGCCCAAATCAAAATAATGTGTTTGTGGCATGTTTGTTTCTTTTAAACTTTTTATATGGTAATAGATTTACGGATGTGGTTTTAAAACATCTCATTTTCAGAACACCAAAAATAAAATAAATTGTGTATTTTGTAAACTAATAGCAAACACCTTTTTAAACAAGTTAATATTTCTAATTGCAATTTCATTGTGAAATTGTATGAATTATTGTCTCTTACAAATTCGTTTAACTCCCAGGCATATAGTGCGGCTGCAGACCTCTTGTACAATCTATGCATGACATATCTCTTATGGAAATGTTGCAATTCATTTGACAGATAAAGTTGTCATCAGATATGGTAAGATACAGTGAGGGGAAAAAAGTATTTGATCCCCTGCTGATTTTGTACGTTTGCCCACTGACAAAGAAATGATCAGTCTATAATTTTAATGGTAGGTTTATTTGAACAGTGAGAGACAGAATAACAACAAAAAAATCCAGAAAAACGCATGTCAAAAATGTTATTAAAATGCAAATCAATTTATGAGGGAAATATGTATTTGACCCCTCTACAAAACATGACTTAGTACTTGGTGGCAAAACCCTTGTTGGCAATCACAGAGGTCAGACGTTTCTTGTAGTTGGCCACCAGGTTTGCACACATCTCAGGAGGGATTTTGTCCCACTCCTCTTTGCAGATCTTTACATTACGGTTTCGAGGCTGACGTTTGGCAACTCGAACCTTCAGCTCCCTCCACAGATTTTCTATGGGATTAAGGTCTGGAGACTGGCTAGGCCACTCCAGGACCTTATTGTGCTTCTTCTTGAGCCACTCCTTTGTTGCCTTGGACGTGTGTTTTGGGTCATTGTCATGCTGGAATACCCATCCACGACCCATTTTCAATGCCCTGGTTGAGGGAAGGAGGTTCTCACCCAAGATTTGACGGTACATGGCCCCGTCCATCGTCCCTTTTGATGCGGTGAAGTTGTCCTGTCCCCTTAGCAGAAAAACACCCCCAAAGCATAATGTTTCCACCTCCATGTTTGACGGTGGGGATGGTGTTCTTGGGGTCATAGGCAGCATTCCTCCTCCTCCAAACACGGCGAGTTGAGTTGATGCCAAAGAGCTCAATTTTGGTCTCATCTGACCACAACACTTTCACCCAGTTCTCCTCTGAATCATTCAGATGTTCATTGGCAAACTTCAGATGGGCATGTATATGTGCTTTCTTGAGCAGGGGGACCTTGCGGGCGCTGCAGGATTTCAGTCCTTCACGGCGTAGTGTGTTACCAATTGTTTTCTTGGTGACTATGGTCCCAGCTGCCTTGATCATTGACAAGATCCTCCCGTGTAGTTCTGGGCTGATTCCTCACCGTTCTCATGATCATTACAACTCCACGAGGTGAGATATTGCATGGAGCCCCAGGCTGAGGGAGATTGACAGGTCTTTTGTGTTTCTTCCATTTGCGAATAATCGCACCAACTGTTATCACCTTCTCACCAAGCTGCTTGGCGATGGTCTTGTAGCCCATTCCGGCCTTGTGTAGGTCTACAATCTTGTTCCTGACATCCTTGGAGAGCTCTTTGGTCTTGGCCATGGTGGAGAGTTTGGAATCTGATTGATTGCTTCTGTGGACAGGTGTCCTTTTTATACAGGTAACAAACTGAGATTAGGAGCACTCCCTTTAAGAGTGTGCTCCTAATCTCAGCTCGTTACCTGTATAAAAGACACCTGGGAGCCAGAAATCTTTGATTGAGAGGGGGTCAAATACTTATTTCCCTCATTAAAATGCAAATCAATTTATAACATTTTTGACATGCGTTTTTCTGGATTTTGTTGTTATTCTGTCTCTCACTGTTAAAATAAACCTACCATTAAAATTATAGACTGATCATGTCTTTGTCAGTGGGCAAAAGTACAAAATCAGCAGGGGATCAAATACTTTTTTCCCTCTCTGTACAAACATGATAGTAGACATTGCCAGTGCAATCTTTTTCCATGTCTAAGCTTATTCTACATTTTTAGATGAGCCCAAAGTGGTCGAATGATCTCCCTAGTTCTCTTGTGGCATGTTTATTTTAATCTTTTGGCCTTTTTGCATGTAGTTAGACAGTGTTTGTGTATGGATAGCTACAGTCACTGGACATGTTTGTGGTTCCATAGTATATTATTGAAACAACATTAATTCAACAATTAATGCTTCCAACGTACAGATTTTTTCAGCACTAACGTGTTGAATGTATAACAAAGGGCAATATTTATTTTATTTTATTTTTTACACATTTTCTTGCATGTCACGGCTGGATGTTAAAACTCTAAATGGTATGTTGTGTGTTTTTTAAGACTATTACTTACTATGCATAAGAAATGTCACTATGTTGCAACGCTGGACCCTGTCAGTCGGCCTGTCATGTATACTGTGTGGTTAGATGGTACAGTATCTTATTGAGGAGGTCTCTGTATACAGTAGCTGACCATCTAGTATGGCAGTACCTGTTTGGAGATCTCACCATCTTGTGTAAAATGTTCAGGAATAATATTAAAATGAAGGATAAGATACTGACTATATCTATGAGAGTCCAGCTCAGAAGCGGCGGCAGGTAGCCTAGCGGCTAGCGTTGGGCCTGAAACCGAAAGGTTGCTAGTTTGAATCCCTGAGCTGACAAGGGAAGAAAATAAAATACAATTGAATTTTATCCCTCTACGTGAAATTACCCCCCTCCCCCAAGTACAACATTATATCAAAGAAGAGGTTGGGTTTTACGACAGGGCTAAATTAAATGCAACCCACAGAATTCTGTATTATATTTGTATTTATACATATATTTAATCTTCGCTTTTTGTTTCATCACAGTCTTTGCCCAATCTTATTGAAGGGCTAGGATTACCTTTACTGTCCATATCCCACAATGTACTGTAGCATAATGCCATCCATTGTAGTGAGCGCTTTGGGGCCTCTACCCAAATACATGCTATAAAAATACCATTCAATTGTCATGGCATGACAGAGCTTCTCACAAAGCAAGAGCTCATAATGAATTATTCTATTGTATCCAGTTCATTATTTGAGTAAATTACAGTTACCTTTCTGCAATGTGTCCTGTCTCTGTCACATTATTGTTGAGTATTCTGCTGTAGGGTATTGTTGAAGCACTTGGTCACACGTTTTCGGGCCATCATAGGTAATGCCCATACTGTATGAACATCAACTTATGTTACACAAAATGACCACCAGAGTGCATCCTATGCCAATTCATGATACAGTATGCACTCTGCATATTCACTGCCTCGGTCAAAAATAAATGCCCATAGCTGAATAATACTTATAGGCCGAATAGATGAATGTATTATAAGAGTTGTATAAACCAGCTGCAAGCAAACTTGTTGAATGTCTATGGTGAATTTGTTTAATATGTGGTGTAGGGATGTTCTTTAATAAATAAAGAATGGTTAAGTTATTATCGGATAACATTTTGGGAGGTCATCTAGACTTGCTTTACAGAACACAGACGTGAAAAGGTTATGAGAACAAACGGTTCTTCAGAATACGAAAGTTTCCAATTGTGGCAGCTGTCTGTGGTGTGCTGTGGGAGGGAAAGAAAGCCACTACTGGGCGACTATCATTGGTCTCACTTTTTAACGAGTGACCGGTTGAATGACAGTGTGTAATGTAATTGCAGGGAGTTCCCAAGAGGCAACAGATAAGGCATGCATTTCATCAAACTGCTTGGGTTCAGTTTCTGCACAACAACTGAAACCGACGGTGACTGATTTAGGACTGACGCATTGATTACTCTGTTTGTGAGAGACTCGCATGAACGCGCTGAAAGTGTTGCAGAGCTGGCGCGTCCTCTATGGGAAATATCTCTTTTCATCTACAACGCAGCCGGGGAAGTTCATTGAAGAAAACGCTTGACTACACAACAGTTTGCAGCAGTAAGTAGTAAGGTGTCTACACCTTTGAATGATAGGTGAAGTTTAGAATGATATGATATACCAATAAAATTGTAAATGTTACGTAATATCATTCAGCAGTTTTCTTGCATCATTGACGCATTAAACCTAACATCCTAAAATATAATAGATTTTTTATGGCAAGTAATGAGTAGCTTACTAGTCTGAAACGTAAAGAGACCTGTAACTTGATCATGCGTGAATAAGCGTAGAAACAACAGGTGCTCTCTTATAGGTCGCTATATCATCCAGACTACACAAGTAGCCTACTGAAAGTGCAAGGGTAATATCCAACCCATCTA